AAAAGACAACTGGGTGCCGATACAGTGTTAATATAGCTAGTCCAGAGCAAAGCCTGTGGATGCAGGGAGGAAATGTATTAATCATAAGCTGTATGGGATGTGTCTTTTTATAGAGAGTCTTACTTCTCTGTAGTACAGCATATAGTATACAAGAGCATGCTGACTTTAGCTAGTTGTCCAGAAGAAAAAAGGTAACTAGTAAACCGGGGAAAACATGTCTCTAAGAGGTCACCATTTGTGTTTTACTAGTTTAATCATTATCATTCCAAACTTTTTTTTTCTTTTTTGCATTCTTTTAACAGAAAAGAGATTAAACAGTTGCTGTCTGAGTTGGATGAAGAAAAGAAGATCCGTCTACGACTGCAGGTACTTAAATTATTAATAATGTTATGGAAGTATTGGCAGCTTTGATTTAGCCTCAGGTATGGGACGTAAAACTCTGCTGGATTCCAGTGAGTCAAAAGCTACTAACATTTCTGAAAGGGATATACCTGTTCCCTTCATAGTGTTACCAATCTGTGTCATATATATTGCAGTACTGGGTTCTTACTGAAAGGCCGAATTATCTAAAAATCTATCAGCACAAGAGAAATTTAAAAAAAAATCATAATTAAATACAATATAGGATTCCAACTATGATTTTTTTTATTCTCAGTTTTAATGGTTTGTTATTTTCATGAGTGAAATCAAGTCTCTAAATTATTTGCTCTCTCACAAAGCTATCTATTTTGTAGTAGGCTTGTCTTAGTCTTCATATACTTGGAATGTTATTTCATATAGCAAGATTTTTATGTCTGCTTTACAGATTGTACTCAGGTTGTCTTTACAAAGGCATCCTAAACAATATAAAAGAATGTGCTCTAATTAAGACCCCAGTTATTGCTACTATCATTTGTATAGTACCTTGGCTCTAGATGTTGTCATGCTGGCTTAATCATTTGCCAGGCAGCATGCTGCCCTGCTTGTGTGAGAGTCATGGAGCCAAGACTTTGCTAGGGTCATTGATCATGCTGCTTCGATACGGAGTGATGCTGAAACTGCTTTTCTGAGTTTCGGAGAGTGATTTGGACAAAGCCCTTAATAACATGCTTTAACTTGGTCAGTGCTGAAGTGGTCAGGCAGTTGGACTAGATGGTCCTTGTAGGTCCCTGCCAACTGGAATAGTCCTATTTTGTTATGTTCTATTCTCTTTATAAGTGGTTTAGTATTGATTATATTTTATATTTTTACACTATAGGTCAACTGTACTTTTCCTTTGTACCTGGGGTAGAAAATCAAAGTGTGATTTCACTGGGCTGTTTCCACTCAGTAAAGTGCTTGGGAACATGGCAAAGAGTAACAGCATTGGGAACCATCAATATCTGTGCTCTGGGCCTGCCTAAAGAGCTTTATGTATGAAACCACAAAGGAGTATGTCTTCTAGTAACACACAATACATGTTCAGCTAAAACTGAAATTTATTCAGATAAAATCAATGAATATTTTTAATAACAGTTACTGATTTAGTCTAACAGGCCAAACTATTCAAAATCTGCCTACAAGGTTGGCTTAACATCTGTAGAGACCTGCACTGATGATTTTAAAATTATAATCTATAATGCTTTTACTCCAATTCAAATGTTGCATATATTAGTAGATGTTCAGATGCTAGCCAAGGTGCCATTATTAGTTTTACGTGAAGGTGAGAATTCAACAAACAGAAGTTGCATTAGTTTAAGAGTGCTCTCAGTCCGTGTATTAAAGAAGACTGCCTTGATGACAGGCCACAGTTGAGTGTCAGGGGTGTGTTTGAATAAATCTAATACCCCTGCCTCAGGGTTTCCAGGGTCTGTCAGAGAGGCCAAGCGTACAGCTAGGTCTGATGATGGGTTCAGACATGTCCTTTTACCACATGGCTGTACATCCATCAGAGCCTTTAAGGTGCCTAGACACAGGCTTGATGGGTGTAGAAGGCAACTGCCATCCCTACAGGGGAGAGACAATAGGTTTTGGTCCTCAGCTGCCACTGCTCATTGTCAGCAGTTCAGTTTACTTGTGCCGTGTGTAAGTGCAGCAGCTGGTGCAAGGACACGGTGCTCATTCTGCAAGTAATTCCTGGCAGTGAGTTGCATAGCTTGTAAAAACTGTAATTTAAAGAGCTTGAAAGGTCTTGTGTTACATTCAGTATCAAGCTCTGAGGGGAGTAAGCCACGAGTGGTCATCTTACGCAGCTGAGAAGGTCACCTCAATTTTTAAAATCTGTGGAAATAAGAGTAGTATAAAACCCATACGCGACACCTGCAGACAAGATGGAACATGTGCTTTTTTATCAAAACCTAGAAATGATGCCTCAGTTTGCTAAAGCATCTAATTTCATCACATTTTTTTTTACTTGTTTGTTTTCAGATGGAAGTTAATGACATAAAGAAAGCTCTTCAATCAAAGTGAATGCTTGATAGGTGGAATGTTGCATTATTCTTCATGACTGAGACTCAAATTTGTGCCCCAGCCAAAATAACTTTGTGCCAAATGATTTAAGAATTGCCTCAGCATCCCTTTATTTGAAGGATTAGCACAACAGTTTTTGATAGCACAACAAAACCACCAACAACGAGGACAAAATTTCCACCTGAAGCAGTGCTGTGCAGCACTGGTTGTGACTGAAATTGATCCTCTTGTGCTAAAGGCTCTCTACTTCAAGATCCTAGGTGAAATGAAAACTCAGGCAGTTTAGTCCATAGTGGTACTATTTTGATGATATTTTTCCATAAATAAAATGTATTTCAGATTATCTGTTTACAAGCTTTATGATTTTGACTTTTGGTTTCTAATTGTCTTTTGTCAGATTTTAAAATGTTTCTACTGCATATAGCCAGGAATGAATGTTAGCGTTGGGGCTGGAGGGATTATTTTTGCTTCAAGATAGAACAGCCTACTTTTTGTTATGGTTTTAAGTTCTGTTAAATATGCAATTTTATGTCCCCAAATCCAATACAGTTTAAACTTATGTTGTGTACAGTAATGTGTTTTCAAGAAGGAAACAAACCAACAGAAATCTGGTCTTTGCAATGATTTGTGCCTTTCTTTGCCACACACTGACCGGAGCCGGTCGCAAGCCAGGACTCCCTAATGTAGCTACTACGACGACTCGTATCCCTGGTGTCCAGCGCGGGTCACCTTCTCAGTGTACAGCTGCTCAGTCAGTAGAGCCACGTTTGTGCAAAGTGGCGGGGCAAAAGGGCGCAGCTGAGAGCAGCTTTGTCTTGAGCAGCTGTGGCTTTTTAGCTTTCCTGGTTTTGATAGGCCTCTCCCTCAACTTGAATGTTCATCGCTTGATTTTCATTAGATGATTTTAGCGCCCGCCTCTGTCCCCAATTTTGCACAGAGTGAACAGAATATGCATTATTAAAGCAAAAATAAATAAAAGTAATCTATGAAACGTGAATAAAAAGTTGTATTATTTCATGCACAAGGTTCTCTGCTGTGTGACATTGTTTCACTTGCTGGTATTGTTTGTTACATTATGTTGTGCACTTAGAGACTGATACACTTTATAGTCCTGATTTTGCAGCAGGACATTCTTCTCATTACTTTATTGAACCTGGTGCTTGCTTCATTTCTTCCAGTTTCTGTTTGCTTTCATCCTTTCAAAATAAGGTCTCCTGGTTTTCTGTGTGTGTTTTCCTGGGTTCCTTGCTAGCCACGGAGTATCTTATACCTTGTCAACAATCTCTGTTGAGTTTATACAGAGCGTTTAAATAATGGATATTTTTGCATAATGTGGAGTGAGTGGATGAGTGATATTGGTGATGCTTCAGAGGGACAAAAAAATCCACACAAAGGATCTATTTGTCATCTTGTCAAATGCTAGAGCTGGCTCCAGTCAGCATATCCTATATCACAGCTAACCACCCTGCCTGTCAGGAGCTGGATCACACGTAGTTCACTTGACTGGTCACATTCACACATGGTTGGCAGAGTTCCCATAATCTTTTTGATATGCATAGATATATAAAGTACTCCACCACACATGAATCTTACTTTATGGGTCTCAACTGTCACTACAGAATCTCACTGTTGGAGTGATTTCCTCTTCCATACCATCTGCTTCTATTGTAACAGTCATGTCTTGAGATTGAAAGGTAAAATAGTGAAACTGGAGAACTTTTTTTAAAGTCCCAATACATTGCTTAATGTACAAAAAACAGAAGCACTAATAAAGTATTTTATCACTGAAATGCTCTTATTTAACCTTTCTAAATAACTGCATTAAAATATTTTTGTACAAGGAATGATAGTCCCACCATAGCTTTCCAGCAATAAAGATTTCTAAATGTTTTTGTCATGGTTTTTGTGAAGTTAGTAGCAGTTAGGAGAACAGGAGGAACTGAGGGATAAGGAATAAGAATTCTGTTTGGATTTATAGTCATACATTTGCAACAGGTATCCAGAAATGAGCAGCTCTGGCTTCCTAATTGCACCCCTGGAAAGAGATGAACTATTGCATCTTTGGTAAATGAAGTATTGATTCCGGAGTTGTACTTCAGAAATATAAGAGACATCTCAGAAATGTTCTGGTTTTTGCAAATGAAAGTCTGAATTTGGCACAGAGTTTCCTTATACCAGACTACATTCTTTTTTTTTTTTCTTTTTTTGATCCTTTTGAGATGATAACTTGTCATCTTGTAAGTCCAGGTTAGAAGTCCAACCTATCATGCTTTGTAAAAGAAGGTTAAATAACATTTTGTGAAAATGCTTTGTTTTGAAAGTTGATTATTCTGGGAGAAGAGAGTTTGTAGAGTTACAAACTCTTCTTGCTGCTTTTCATTATATTAATAGAAAGTATTTCACATAACATACAGATTTTCCCTTTTTAAAGAGGATCAATTATGCATTAAACCTGTGGATATAAACTGCTGCTTTTAAAAATGTTTGGGTTTATATTTAAAGAAAATCAGAAAATGCTGGTGAGCTACAAAGTGATTTTGATGTGAAAATTATTAAATATTGTTGTTTGAAGAGTTGTGTAAAATGACTTTTCACTAATATGCGCACACCGGTCTTGCAGCAGACTTCTGTTTACATGTAGAAGTCAGATGTGAAACATCAGGCTCATGCCATCAGGTGATAATATTTAAATTCTTGATATGGAAAATTTTTAGGTTATTAAGAAAACAGTTTTATGTTCTCTTTATGTTCTAGTTTCAACTTTAAAAGGAGCATGTATTTCTTAATGTGAGATCATAGCACTTTGCACTTCTAAAAGTTCTTCATAGAAATAAGATAGTAAATATTCAAAGTGTTTCTTGCGTTCTGTTACTTATATTTCCTCTTCTGTGTTTTTCTTAGTAACATCCATTTGTAAGTGATCAAAAGGCTTAGATGAATCTATTGTTATGCCAACAGGTCAAAGGATTGAACTCAACTCTATGCCGTAAATTTTGTTTCTAGGTGTAGGATAGCCAGCTGCCCAGTAAACTTTGTGAGCTGCTTTGTGTTTGAAATGTCCATAGGAGTGCCGTACTGTGTGACAGCCAGGACTGAAATTTGCACTGGTGCAATCAAGGTGAGACAATGCCATAAAACACCCTCAGAAATCCATGTTCTGCTGAAGTTACATAATTGTTTCGCTTATCTTCTTGCAGAGTTGATTTGGATGTGAGCAGGCACCGCTTTCCCCCTGATTACCCTCCAGACCAGGCTGTCCTGCTGCAGGAGTAGCTGCCCAGGAGCTGCAGCATTACCAGCATCTCTGTGCAATGCCCCGTGCATGGTCTGCAGGCATAGAAATACGTTTGCTGCTGCAGAGCTGGCATGACATGAAAAGGTCTGGTGTTCCTGTTAATTCCTTGGCTGTGCCACATTGCTGACAGCTCTCAAACTTTTCGCGTTGGTTTAGAGCTTTTATTCTCTGTGGGCCTGCCTTGCGGGCAGGAGGCGGCTGTGGTCAGAGGTGCTGCAATTCATGGGTCCCGCAAATACCTGAGCACCAAAAGCCAAAGGGAGAGTACTGCTGGGGTGGGGGTGATGGCCAGTCAGCAGTCCCTGCCACAGTGCAATGCAGGAGGTTGCTGGTGTCTGCTGCTTCTTTGAAGAAAGGACCCTAGGGCTGAAAACAAGACAGAGGCACATTGATGAGGAAAGGCTGGATAGAGAGAAGATACCTTTCACACAGGCAGACTGTGTTTTGAAAAGTAGGAGCAACCAACCAGTCTGAAACTTGCATTGAGGAGGCGTTTTGATCTCTTCATTGGAGGAGTGCTGCAGTGCAACTGAAATTCCCAAAGACTCTGGTGAGGAGAGGGCCCTCCAAGCATTGACTTCTGGTCAGGGCAATCCTCAGGCTAAAAGGAGCCAGAGGGGGTGGAGCTGAACTCCCCACACTAAACACGAAGTACTTGTATCCATGGTTATTAATACCCTTCAGTCAGAAATTAGATTTTGCTTGGCACCTTTGGCCTCAGCTGACTCTTGAGCTGGCCTAGGAATTAGCAGCTGGTGGCCTATTCACTTCCCACTTCCTGCAGCTGCTTCCTTCCCCCTGCGGCATCCCCTCTGCTCCCGCTGTTCCCTGCCTTTGGAAAACAACCAACTTCCTTAGGTCATCAGCCCTGAAGCTGAGGGGGTGCCAGCCCTTCCTAGCCTGGAGTAGAGCAGCTGGGGAAGCAAAATACACTTCTTAAATATCCGCAGGAAGCTGTGGTGCTGTGTGTGCTGCTGGGGGATGAGCATGCCTCCGCACTCACCAGGCTGGTGATGGGCAGGCCAGAGCTCTGGACCACAGCTTCTTGCCCTACACTTTCTACTTAAGTTAGTAACCTAAGTATTGGACCCACTCAACACACTGTTGTTTGGTATGAGCTCTTTTAATTAAGATGATTTCCAATCCCAGTGTAGGCACAAAGTTTCACAGGTGGCTAGTGTAAACCACTGTCAGCCTCAGGAGCAGATGCTTGAGAGGCTTTTCTTTGCACTGCCACAGCCAGGCTTTCCTTGAGCCAGCATTGCAGCCTAGTTTCCCCTTTCAGTGCTCACAGTTCCACTATTAGACAGTGTGGAGGTCTGGAGTGCAAACAGGTAAACTAACAAAATGGCTTAATGTTCTTGAGCATTTATTTTTTTCAGTATTGGAAATCTAATCATGTTTAAAAATGTATTAGTACCGCAGGATGAAAAAATTAAGCTATAGATTAATTTTGTTGAAATTGCTACCCTACAAACTGGAGTGCTATCTTAGTGTATTTTAGCACGTTAATTAACTGTAATTCTAGACAAATCTCTAGAACCATGAGAGTAATTAATTGTACTGACGCATTGTAAAGGTTACAGTAAGGAGGCAAGGCCTACTGATCTCTCTCAGCCCCTTGGATGAGTAGGTTTCAAACTCTTTTATCTTCATTTTTTTAAGTAGAAACAGCAACTGGACAATGGAGATGATGACAGTCACAGGAAAACATAATTGGCTTCTAGCAGTATAATCTTAAAAGTTTTAATAAGCTATTTCTCTTGGAGAAGAGAACTTCAGAATTAGAATGACAAAGCAAATTAGATAAGAATGACCAGGCTTCACTAGCACTTCTGAATATTAGAGCACTAAAGAAGTACTTGTTTTCAAAACTTTCTCTGTCAAAATCCCTTCCCTTCACCCAAACTTGGTATTTTTGTTGCTGTGGAAGACCATTTTCCTCAGTACAAGCTCTTCCCTGCATGCTTCATCCCAACTAATTAACAGCAAAGGTGCTTCCACAAAGGGATCCATCAAGCTGCTCTTCACCTCCTTGGATAACAGCAACAAAGGGTTTGGGATTTTGTCAGAGCACTTTTGAGCTTTTCTTAGAGGTAGTGAAAATTAAGCTGGGCAGCTGTCCCTGCTACAGGATAACCCATCACCTGGGTTTACCCCCTCCTGCAGATGGTTTTTATTGTGAAGGACACAAGTGTGGGAGGTAGCACAGTTCACACAGTCCATGCACTGTACTCTTCCTCTTAGCACAAAGCACCAAAAAGCAGAACAGGTAAGGAGGATAAACAGAAAAAAAGGTGCACCTGCAGGGAAATTGCTGCTGGGTAAT